CAGCGGCTTGAGGAGGCGCGGCCCAGTCCGGCCCCCTGGCCAAGCGGCTCCCTCCGGCCAAGAGGCTCTGGCCCCGGCGGTTCCGGCCTGGCTTGGATCGGGCCCTGGCTGGGGCGCTGGCCCCGGCTGAGCACCCCTGGTCCCGGCCCTAGCGACTCCAGCTCGGCTCGGGTCCTGGGGCACGGCTCTGGCCCCGGGTGAGTGGCTCCGGCCCAGCCCCGGCCCTGGCCGAGCGGTGCCGGCTGGTGGCCAAGCACCCCCAGCGCTGGTCGCTCCGGCCCGGCCCAGTTCGGGTCCTGGTTCCGGCTGAGCGGCTCCGGCCCGGCCACCGGCCAAGCACCCCCAGCCCCACCAGCCCTGGATGCAACCTGGTTTATAGTCTTTAACCCTGAGCTAGGCTGCCCAGCGGCCCTTGTGTTAAGCGCTGCAGGGGCCCCTCCAATCCGAGCCTCAGGGGCTGCGGGGACGGGCAGGGAGCGGGGAGTCGGCGGCCGAGCACCCCCAGCCCCGGTCCCAGCAGCTCCGGCCGGGCTCGGCTCGGGCCCCGGTTCTGGCCGAGCGGCTCTGGCCCGGCCCCGGCCGGCGGCCAAGCACCCCCAGCCCCGGTCCCAGCGGCTCAGGCCCAGCTCGGGCCCCGGTTCCGGCTGTTGCGCTGGGGAGAGCGGCGGGAGCCGGGAAAGTTGGAGCCCGGGGAGGAGGCGGTCCCCTTACCATGCCTCCCTATTTTCCCGGACATTTTCCTGCTTTTTGGAAATTCCTCCCGGACGGGGATTTGAGGACCAAAAAGCCAGACATGTCCGGGAAAATCTGGACGTATGGTAACCCTATCCTGAGCCCCCATAGTGCTGGTGTCCGACGTGATGTCACTTTTCATTAAGATGATGCTGGCAGATTTAAATATTATACCTTTAATTACAGACTTTGTAGACAAATTAAATTTCCATTCTACACGTGGCAACAAATAATTCTTACCATATGATTTTTCCACCTGCTGTGATGGAGTGAAAATAGAGAATGAATCCAGCTTTTTGTAAGAAAAAAAGAAATTATGCTCTCTTTTCCATTGCATTTATGTTCACACTTATAGAATAACTCTATCAGTATGATAAACTATTACCTGAATCAACTTAAATGTATGACTGGAAGGAGGTAATTAAACTCATAAAAGGATTGATCAGTATTGTCAACTAATGGGTTCTTTTTGTAGCCTATAGGAAATTTGCCTATAAATTAAATCATCTCTTTCTTTGGCAGACGTACTTTTCATGGTAAATCAACACACTTGCCCAAACCATTCCAATCCTCCTGACATGTTCTTATAATATTGAATAAAACTATGTATATAATAATGTGCATGATCCATGCACTGTAAATAGATCTCATTTTTTTACTTTTCTTTCTTTGTTTGGCTTATCACAATATACACAAAACGCTAAAGGATTTGTATTTTGATTAGCATGAGCAGTTTACATTACTACAATATGTACATGTAATATGTACATACTCAGGTGCTTTTCAGTGTGGCTCCACTATCAAAAACATAGATTCCTAATTTCAGTTCAGTTTGAGTTAATATAAAATGTCACTGGCAACTAGGACTGAATAGCTCCGGAATACCTGTTCCTTTGGTTCTATATGAGAAACACTTCCATCTTTATTTATTCTGCATTCCTTGTCCAACCTTCTCAATACAGTGGGGTGGTAGCACCACTAGAGTTAAGGCTGAGAACTTTTAACAATTTTTAGCCAGTTTTCCTAGGTGCTGTAAAATCCATATTATTATTTGGATTGTCTTGAAAATTGTGGTGCATCTTGAGGTCTGGGGTAGGGCTAGTGGCCCAAATTAGAGGGTATTTCTGAGATACAGCTCCAAGGTAAAACAAATTTAAGCCTCTCAAAACCAGGAATTACACAACAACTCCATGCCATAACCTTAACTCTGCCCTGCTGGAGCAATGCCCCAACCTGCCCCTGTCAGACATCCTTCTAGATATGAAGCACTGTGCAGACATAACACATAGGAGAAACTGTCAGACTGTGCCCTCACTAAGGCAAAAGTTGTCTGTAGAGTGGGCTTTGCAAACCCCAGCTGGATATGCCTGGCCTAATGTTGACGACTTCACCTACTCTTCACAAATCACCCAAGAGTCACCAGATGTTATGACTCCTTGACCATTGTCCTAAGGATTCCTTTTGGAACAACACCTGCACTTACACTTCTGCATCATAGTGCACTGTCAGGTGTGCTTCGAGGCTGCTACAATCCCCGTGGCAAGAATAGACTATTTTGCTCCCCTTCTTGCACAACCAACATAACTCAGCACAGAAACAAGAGGTTCATGACCCCTTTGGCTGCAGATGCACTTCTCATATCACTGTGGCAGGTAACCTGCTCCAGGTAATCCCTTTACCAGTCAATGCAGCTGTCCCTAACACAGTGAAGGGCCATTGGAATGCATGCAGAAGAATGAGAGAATACAATTCTGTAGGACACACCATACCACATAAAACAGCACATTTACTTAGTCATTCTTCACATCTGCTTATTATAGGAGATCCCTACCTGAAATACACCGGTACTTACAGTATACATCATTTAAGAACAGATTCTCAAAGGTAATTAGGCCTCTAAAGATGCAGATAGGTGTCTAGTGGAATTGTCAAAAACACTTAAGAAGGTTAAGCACTAACCTACTTAGGTGCTTTTGAAAATCCCAGTAGGTGTATATCTGCTTCTTTAGGCTACCTTTGAAAATCTGACCCTTCATCTCTTTATGCCTCAATTCTCCTCACCATTAGGATAATAATACTTTCCAACTCCTTGTCCATCTTGTCATATGTATTGTAAGCTTTTTGAGGCAGGGATTGTCTCTTACTATCTTGATACAGTGCCCAATGCAATGCAATCTCAATTGGGCCTTTAGAAGCTACTATAATATAAATAATAATACAAATAATATATTGTACTCACATTGCACTTTTCCTCCAAGTGTCTCGAAGCATTTACAAACATTAATGCAATACTCTCAACATCCCTCCGGGGCAGATAAATATTGCCACAGACTTCTTGCATGATCCTTGGGCAAGAACATCACTTAATCTCTCTGTGTATCAGTTTATCATCTATATAATGGAGTACTCTTACCTCCCATGGCCTCTCTTGACAGTTTAGATTGTAATCTCTTCACAGCAGGGACTCTCCCTCATTATCTGTATGCAGAGGACCTATCACAAAGAGACCCTGATCTTAGTTGGGCCATCTAGGCACTGCAGTAATACCAATGATAAATAACAAAATATTTTACATGTGGGGAAACTGAAGCAAAGATTGGTTAAGGCTAACATTTTAAAACTTTTCTGCCCAGTTTCACATCTAAATCAGTAGTTGGATACCAGAATGAAAATAGAGCAGTATTTAAAGGAGTTGAGCTACTGTAGTTCCCATTGACTAAAGTGATAGCACCTCTCAAAATCAAGATTTTTTTCAGATGCTGAATCTGGGCTTATATTTCCCATCTTGTCTAGTCTCTTGTACTCCCCAATGGAGTTGTGTGTTTTGTTTAGTTTCTTTCTGTTCATTGGCAGCAATCCTGAAGAGTGTGCTTTAGAACAAGTCTTTTTTTAGACTTTCTGCTACTGGTATATCTTTACAGATATCCAGCTATGTCCCTGACTACTCTAAATAAATTAGAAAGGGCTTGGTGTTGCATGATTGGGTAAGAGACTTCCCATCCTCTTTTATGTGCTGCTATAATTTATTCTGGATTTATTTGACTGATTTTTCAAGTTACTAAAAATATAAGACAGAAACATAGGTTTGACTTTTCCTCACCTAGCCTCCAAAGTTCTCTTTTGTGCACACATGCAACCT